TATGATTGACACCATCTTGGAGTCCAGGGTCGGTATTACCAAAGTAAAGTTAGACCATTCCAGTCAAATGCAAAGAAACTTAATATTTTAGTTAGCTTGCTTTGTGTTTTCATTACTTTTTTTTATTCTTCTTGAGGCTATGAAAACTCCCTATGGACTGCTACTGCTACCTATTCAGACTCAAAGGGGACAAGGTTCCCAAGTTGGAATCACTGTGTAAGAAACCCTTTTAACTCAACTCCGAGCATTTGTCCATTGAACATCTACCTGCTTTTCCAAATCATTATAAGGCACATCAGTGACAACCAACTCACCATGTAGATATACTTTTTGTAGCATCTAAAGCCTAGTTCTGAATTTTGGCTTGTTTTGTTTTGTCAATTTGCAGACCTCTAGTTGGGAGGTCTAGTAAGACTATCCCCACACAACAAACACTCTGAGGAATCTATTTAGGTGTTAGAGCCGATTCCAGATACAGCAAAGGATGAGGGTGTATGGAAGGTTTGACCTCACCTCGGTGGACCAAGGGAGGATTAGAAAGTTGAGATTCAGTAATGAGATCTGAAAGAATAGTATGATCTTGTTTTGTGTATTTTCAAATGTTGGAAAAGGAAGAAAAAGGAGCTCAAAGACACAGTACTACCCATTAGATAAAATCCAAGCACTTAATATGGAAAAAATATCTATGGTTCCCACATCCCCTGACCCCCATCTTGCACCCAGTCATCCTGAACTATTTTCAATTCCCAGAAGATTCCTTCTCTTTCATACTCCCAAGTCTTTGCATATACTGTTAACTCTACTAGGAAAGCTCTTTCTGCCTCTTGTCTGGGGAGAAAACAGTTGAGTATCCTTTAACATGAATCTTAAATAACTGGCCTTTTATGGATTCTTCCTTGAGTTTTCAGGCATATTAAGTACTTCTTGCCAGTGCTCCGTGGCATCTATATAATTCTGGTGTAGATAGCATTTATCACAGTTCAGAAATAGTCATTTATGTGTGCTCTTTTTGTTGAAAAGAAAACATCTAAAGGGTGAAAGATCTTGTGTCTTTTCTACCTTAATATTTTCTAATCTAGAATAATTGTTTCCTGCTTGGATAGCTTGTTTATTACTTCAAGATACTGATCAATAGACTTCCCTTAGCTCTTGACTGTCTTCTATTGAAATAACTAATGATTTTATCAACTCCTAGCATATGTTCCCTTTGTTACTAGCAAATAGGTTGGGGGAAGAGTCAGAAGGCAGAACTACAGAGAAAATAAATAGAAGAGACATAAAAAGCAGCTATCTCAAGACAAGCAGCAGAAACCATGCATCGGTGTGCTACCTAATAGGCTCATGAATGTAGTTGTAATTGTTATAACTGTCAAATATTTGCTGAACTCCAAAGGGATGGACCCAGCATTTTTTTTTTTTTTAATGAGAAGGTTGGAAGAATATTTCTTTACAGCCTGGCTATTTGTCCAAATCAGTTATCTCAAGGCATAATTAATTTGTAAAAGAGCTCTTTGGCTTGCTTCCTCTCTTTCCTCTTCTCTCTCCTCTTCAGCACATTCTGTTGGTTTGGCCAAGGAGCAGACTGAAAAGTCTAAAGAGACAAGGCCTGGAAATCAAAGAGGCGATTACAGCCAAAGGACTAAACCAAGAGGGTTTGGGTATAGCCTCTGTTGTCACTGTAGCAAACAGGGAAAAGTAAGCAAGAGGGAGACACTTGCCAAGCTGATCATCTCTGATTGGAAACCTCAGAGATGACATCAGTCTTTGGTGTGCAACAAACTCAGAGTGTCTCGCCATGTGGAACATGTTAATAATATGTGGTTACCTAAGACCACTTTAAAAAAAATTGTTAGACAATGAATTCACATTTAAGAACCTTGAGATAAAATTTTGCAAAAAATAGGGTTTACTGATGATGAATAAGTAAACAATGAGTTACACAGGATAAACTTTGAAAAGACATCCAAATGGCTAAAGATGTAAATAAGTGGTTGGCAAGGACTCTTTTTTTTTTTTTTTAATATATATTTTATTGATTTTTACAGAGAGGAAGGGAGAGAGATAGAGAGCTAGAAACGTCGATGAGAAAGAAACATCGACCAGCTGCCTCCTGCACATGCCCCACCGGGGATGTGCCCACAACCAATGTACATGCCCTTGACCGGAATCGAACCCGGGACCCTTCAGTCCGAAGACCGACGCTCTACCACTGAGCCAAACCGGTTTCGGCGGCAAGGACTCTTGTAGGAAAAGATGAGGAGGGAAACTATTGGCTTTGGCTAAGGGGATTAAGACTCTGTTGAAGGTCAGAAATCCCATGACCAGAACGGAAGAAACCAAAGGAACCCTTTAGTCAAGAAAGGCACAATCAGTTGTAGAAATGTCTCCCAAGTCTCCAGTACTAGGAGGATTCTTTCTGTCTTTAGTCTTGATTTTACATCAAGTTGTTTTCCTCAGTTTTAGGCTTTGAAAATGAATGTGCGTTAAAGTTCATGAAATAATGACTCATACCATTGAGATCTTGCCAAGTAACAGGCATTGCGCTAAGCACCGGGATATAAAACACACACACACACAAAAAAAAACAACCCATGGGATCCCCAAGTAAACATGCTAGTAGTGGGAGGAGTGAATTATTTAATATTTATCTTGCCCTGGCACTTCACCAAATCCTGATATATAGAGCTATATTTTCTAAAAATTAGGTTTAGCCGAGACCGGTTTGGCTCAATGGATAGAGCGTCGGCTTGGGGACTGAAGGACCCGGGTTCGATTCCGGTCAAGGGCATGTACCTTGGTTGCGGGCATATCCCCAGTAGGGGGTGTGCAAGAGGCAGCTAATCGATGACTCTCTCTCATCGATGTTTCTAACTATCTCTCTCCCTTCCTCTCTGTACAAAATCAATAAAATATTAAAAAAAATAAAAAAATAAAAAAAATAAAAAAAAATAAAAAAAATAAAAATTAGGTTTAGTCAGTGAAGCTTAATGGGGTTTAAGGACAAATAAGATGTGGCATATTGTAAACAAATATGGTTAATTTTTCTAAGAGATATACTTTGAGTACATAAATAGATCCTAGTAGATCTGATAAAAAAAATTGAATATTTCACTGGGGAAAATACTCCAACAGAGGCTGGATAACCACCCAAATGGTATCATATGGTGACACCCAACATCCCTCCCATTTTAAAATCTGAGATTCTGGAACTCAGTCTTTCAGTTGGATTTTGATTTGGATAAATGCTAAATGATCACTATCTTATATACAGTTGACTGCTTTAAATAACAATATTAATAAATTTGCCACCGGTTTTTGCCTGTTATGAAAATACTATAGTAAATTTTCTATTTCTTTAATAATATTGGAAATACATCAGAGTGGTATTGGTACCTCACAGTCTTCTATCAACTTATTGTGAAATGAAAAGGGACCATTCATTGTTCTTGAGCTAATATTTTGTTACCATCACTGATATATGTTCTTATGAAGAATGAAATAGGAGATCAAACAATAAATAGCTCGCCATTTACAGTAAGCCTCCCATGCCACCAAAGGGAACCCTAAGATATCCTGATGGGCCACAACATTGCAAAGCAAGGCAGTAAGACCCAGCCTGTCCTGTTTCTTAAATTCATTAAGGCTCAATGTGGCTTTTCCTGCTTATCCCCTTAGTATTCTGAATGTCCTAATTGCTTGGACTCTTTCTCTCCACAAATAGTCTCATGTACTGTATTCAGTATTAATGTAGGGTGACTATGTAGAGATGTCTTCTATTCCTACTTTTAGCAGATTAACAGCTAATAAACACCATGCAACACCCTCTCTCCCCACCTCTTCTAAAAATACAGAGTTTGATTTGCCAACATTGGTGTATTTAAAGCCTCCAAGATTCCAGAGAAGACTTGAGAAAGTTAACTGTGCAAGTAAGGCGTGTTCAGAGAGGAAGTTCCAATCCAAAAAGCCAGTTTATCAGCAGCTCATCTGAGAACCACAGGGTATTTTATAGTGATTTATAAGAAAAGGATGTTTGTTCTCATTTAAAATAATACTTCTCACTTTCCTCTTGAGATGCAAGACAGAAGATAATTTGTATTACCTGGGGAGATAAGTTTCATCTCAAGAGGGAAAAGCTGTCTATTTTAGGAAGAAACACCATGTTATATGCCAGTGACTTATGCCATTTCTCTACCCTCCTCCACAGTCCTTGAACTTCGCTTCCTCCACTTAGATAGAAGCAATTAATTCTAAAGAAAAGTCAATAATCAGAAGCTGTTCAAAGCTTTAAATGAAACCCAATTTAATACTCTGTTTTGATGATAATATCAGCAAAAAAAAAAAATGTCTGAGAAAACCCGGATAGTTATATTAAAATGATGTCCGTCAACACCTCATATAAATGATATAGAATTTACTGAAGGGTAAAATAGCTACTCTTGCCGAAACTAGTTTGGCTCAGTGGAGAGAGCATCGGTCTGCGGACTGAAAGGTCCCAGGTTCGATTCCTGTCAAGGGCATGTACCTTGGTTGTGGGCACATCCCTGGTAGGGGGTGTGCAGGAGGCAGCTGGTCAATGTTTCTCTCTCATTGATGTTTCTAACTCTCTATCCCTTTCCCTTCCTCTCTGTAAAAAAAAATCAATAAAATATATTTTTAAAAAATAGCTATTCTCTGCTCAACTAAAAAAAATAGCTACTCTGTTCATGATATTCATGACCCTGACCTTAACTTGTTTTTCTCATGCAGACCAAACTTCCTTTGAAGGTAGGTCAGGGTGAAATTCCATTATAGTTATGACTTGCTTGCAAATTATCTTCTTCTTCCTCTGGCTATCCATTGTCGTTTGTGCCTTGTGTTCTTCCTGATTAGTTTACTGGTGCTGCTGTCTCTCAGAGCTTCTCTATATACCACCTGCCAGACAAATCACGCAGGGCCTGTAAAAAGGCAGTGTGTTTCTTGGGATTATTTACGACTTCCTTTGCTGACTTTTCTCTCTGCAGAACCGGACTGGAAGCCATCATGGAGACTTATGCGTTCTGGAGACCCCCTGTGCGCACACTCACCTTTGAGGATTTCACCACCATGCAAAAACAGCAAGGTAAAGCCCTGGGCACGGCCTCTGCTCAGAGGAAGGGACAGAGAGGGGGTGGGAGCTGAATTAATATAGCACATCTGGCCCCAAGCCCAGCCTGATTTTCTCTGAACGAAGGTAATTTGGTAGTTCTGTAAAAACTAGAGCATCAACACCTGAACAAACAGGCCAGTTCCAGTATTTCACCTAGCACCCCAAATTTTCTCTCCTTCCCAAAGCAAGGTTATACATTCATGATGATGATGGTGGAGAAATAATTTCTATCTCTAAGCATTCACGAAGCCCTTGGCATTGGAAGAGATCTTCATAATTACTTCCCTTATTCCTCATGGCAGCCTTATCAGTTCTCTTGTTCTAGTTTTGTGGATGAGAAAACACTTAGCTTTGGCTGGTGTAGCTCAGTGGTTCAGCATTGAACTAGGAACCAGGAGGTCACAGTTTGATTCCTGGTCAGAGCACATGCCTGGGTTTTAGCTCAGCCCCCAGAAGAGGAGGCAGCCTATCAATAATTCTCTCTCATCATTGATGTTTCTATCTCTTTCTCACTCTTCTTCCCTTTCTCTAAAATCAATAAAAAATATATTTTATAAAACCTCCCAAACTTAGCTTTGGACAATGGGAATAAATCACTCCAGGTTTGAAAGTGAGGAGAGGGCTGCCCAAATTTGTAGCTTGTGCTCTCTCCTTGGCTTATGTGGGACATGCCTCTCAAGTTGATGTGGTAGGTAGAGTTCTCTTCACCACTGCTTTGTGCTTTTCACCCTGTTTCAAATATCCCTTCCCTCAGAGCTCAGGTTCATAAACCTGTGGCCATGTGTACAGATGGCTCTTGGGCTGATTTCACCTCCTTTTCTCCATCTAGTCAGTGACTCTCCGGAGCAACACCCATTCACCTGGGTACCGGAATGAAAGCTTTCCACGTGTCAGATGCCTTATGAGTCTCCCTGTCCAGTCTTTTCTTGCTCAAAGGTGACCGATCAAAGTGACAGATCAAGCCTATTTTGTCCCATCAACAGGCCACTGTTCACAGAATCCTATTTTTGAACTGGTGGCTCTGTGATATGGGAGGCCCTTCCAGGACTTGACAGTTCATTATATTACATTCCCTCTCAGCAGAGCTCCTGGCATCTTATATACTAAAAAGAGTTTGTGACATAAAACACTGCAATGTCTCAGGTTTTATGATGAATACAGAAATTAAAAATATAGGGTCTGCAGTCAGACAGTGTGGGATAGGCTCTTCTTAGTGTTCCTTCATAGCTTTACAAACTGATGACGTTCAGATGTTGTTCTGTTAATGATGTTATAATGACATATATGATGGAGCTATTGGTATGGCCCAAACTGAGAGTACCTTTGTGAGAAGGGTCTCCAGGTACATCTGACAGCAATATGTCTCCGTCTGTGGAAGTGAGGAGACCTGCCATTGACAGAAGCCCTCCCTCTCCTCAATTGGTAGCAGACACCACTAGGGAGATCTCAGAACCATTGGGTGTTGTAATGTTTGTCAGGTAGTTAAAGTTAGGATTATGAAGGTCCCTGTTGGTTTTGGGCATTTGTTTTAATTAGAGGTTGGTCAGTGAGAGGAATCAGTTACTGAGTAAATTTATTTATTTATTTATTTAAATATATTTTATTGATTTTTTATAGAGAGGAAGGGAGAGAGATAGAGAGCTAGAAACTTCGATGAGAGAGAAACATCGACCAGCTGCCTCTTGCACACCCCCTACTGGGGATGTGCCCGCAACCCAGGTACATGCCCTTGACCGGAATCGAACCTGGGACCTTTCAGTCTGCAGACCAATGCTCTATCCACTGAGCCAAACCGGTTTCGGCATAAATTTATAACTATTATAGTAAGAGATTAGGATAGGAGAACAGCTGAATGGGTGGCAGCTTTTGAACTACTGCGTGATCACTGTAATGATTCAAAAATAGCAGATTTTACTTATCACTGAGATAAGGGACAATGCCCATGAGGAGATCTCATTTATCACGGAGATAAGGAATGATGCCCATGAGGAGCATCGTGACAGGGATTAGAGAACATTTTAATTATCACTAAAATAAAGTTATTGGTTACATTTTCTATTTTATTTCAAAAGCCCCTTAATCTCAGCGTGTCCAAAACTGATTCTATGATTTACCTCACAGATTTGGCGCCCTCTCCTGGAGTAAAGACACCTCCATCCATTAATCCCTCACCAAACCCAAACATTACCAAGTTCTTAGATCCATCCACATCTTAATTTCCTTGCTACTACCCTACTCCCAGGGGTCATCCTTTCTCACTTGACTTTATTCTCAGGCCCCCAAGGGTCTACATTTTTTAAGATTTAAATCTGTTGGGAAAGGTCATGCGCCTTTCTCCTAAAGTTTCTAGACAAAATCCCACTGAGTCTCATGGACTCTAATTGAGTCGCCTGAACCAATTGCTGAGCAGGGAGGTGTGGGTGTGGGTGTAGGGTAGGGTGGAGAACATGATGTCTGGATTGTCCAGGTGCAAGTCATGTGCTTTTCCGAGTCTTAGGCTTTTCCAGGAGGCCAGGCAAATGGGTGAGAGTGGAAGTAGGGGTGTTTCTCAATGGGAAACCAGGTACTGTTGCCAGGGGAGCAGCAGATTAGTTCTAAATTACAATAACAACGGATGTACACTGCAGCAAGGAAGGCAGTAAATCAAGTAGCAGAGAAACAAACAAGTTTATGGAAGGTGAAAAAAAATAGGGACAGTCCACCTAGGGAGTGTGAAGGCATAAAATAGGCCATCTAAGAATCAGAGGGACCAAGATGAAGAATGAGAATTGGGCAACTATATAAAATGCTGTTTTTAGGGGAAGAGGCTTGGATCTGGGCATATCTTTAAACTTTATAGAGAAGGATGCACTCAGAGTCTTTCTAGACTGAAACCACACAATTCCCATTAGTACTCCAATGTTTCACCTTTGCACGTGGAGTGAGGTATTGATTTCCACTAAGGGCAATTCCTTGGTTGGGATGAGCAGAGATGTGATCCAGGGTTGATTCCCTGGAATCAGTCCATAGGGTGCTGACATTTTACCTCTTACCTGTTTGAAAGCCACTCAAGGACACATAGTGAATCAGCACTCTTCAGGGGCAGACGCCATCAAGTTCTACGAGAGGGGTACCTGGCTCATGGAACCAAGTAATTACATGGAAATTTATTCTTTACTAGCTCAGATGGGGTTTTCTTTAACCATTTTAAAGTTTTTGTTTGTTTGTTGGTTTGTTTTGGGGGTGGGGTGGGGAAGCACAACAAATTGAACCCAAAAGGAAGCTATATGTGAAAGCCTCCCTATTACAGTCTGGAAGTGATCAATTTAAAGATGCAGAGGTCAGCAGGTTTTGCTATTTGGAGTTTTCACGGTCAAATTTAACTGTCTTCATATAGTGCACAAGTATATCCTGGGCTATTGTCTTCATATGGAATCCTGCTACACATGGATTCTTTTTTTGTTATGTTGGCTGTTCGCCTTGAATATTGGAGCAAATTAGAGGCGAGTTTGAATGTTAATGAACACCTCCTCACTTTGGTCAGCAAATGAGGGTGCAGGGAGGCGGAGTGGGTGGAGGATTGGTCTTGGAATGCCAGAGGGTTTTGGTTACTCAGGGCATTATGTTTTTAAAAACATTATATTAGTTTCAGATGTACAAAATAGTGATTCGACATTTATATGCTTTACAATGTGATCACCATGACAAATCTAGTCAATATCTGTCCCTGTATACAGTTATTACAACATTACTGACTATATTCCCTATGCTGTACAAGCCTATCCACTTGTATGTGGAATCTAAGAAACCGAACTAACAAAACAAAACAGACTCACAGAGACAGAGAACAAACTGATGGTTGTCAGAGGGGAAAGAGGTGGGAGGATGGATTAAAAAGGTGAAGGGGATTCAGAGGTACAGACTTCCAGCTATAAAGTAAATGTCATGGTCATTATATTTGACCTCTAGAAGTAGATTAAGTCCTTTGAGTAAACTGAGTGGTCGTCATCCATTGGGGAAAGTTATCTATCTATCTATCTATCTATCTATCTATCTATCTATCTCTCTATTTATCTACCTATCTATCTATCTGTGTTCAATTATGCTTTGCTTGATCTGAAAAGAGATGGAGGCATAGGACATTTAGTGTCCACAGGGGCAGAGGAGATTGGGGAGGGGCCAATATTCAGAGAAGAAGCAGAGTTGGGAATATGGCCCTGGTGAGTCCATAGCTGTCATGTGCCCAGTGCTGTGTCTTCTAGCCTGTTACACTGGAGCATCTACCTATGACACAGTGCTCACCAGTGGAGAGGCCAAGATGCTCAGCTCTACGGACAAAGGGCAACATCTGTGAGCCATCTCCACAGAATCCAAATGCACCAAGATTCCCTTCTCTTTCCTTCACTCATATAAGAAAGGAGACAAATATTTAATGCTTTGTAATATATATTATTCCATCTATTTCATAAAACATCCTAACCAGGTAGAGATTCGTAGTTCCATTTATGTGGAGTGGCTAACTTGCTAAGCCAGAAAAACATCTGAGTTTGTTTGCCTTTATAGACCATGTTCATCATTAAGTAAAGTTTAAATCAAGACCTAGAGCAGTTGGACCTGGCAGGTAGAGAGGGGATGAGGGTGTAGGAAGGGAGGCACGCTTTTCTCTGAGAGGCAGTTCTGACCCCTCTGTATCAGCATAGCCTGGCCTCCCACTGTGCCCAAGCTTCTCTGCGATGAGAGGCCTCAGGCAGCCAAGTGTTGAAATGCACAGGGAGGGTGGCCTGCCTCCCTATGCTTACTTAGCACTTGGCTGGCACTCCCAACCTTGTTTAACAGCTGACAAGTTGTTAGATCATAACAGTAAAGGCTTCTCAGTATCTTGGTTTGGTTCTCTGCAAAATGCTTATCATAGTCTTCTTTATTAGACTTTGTAAACTCGCTACTATCTGTATCAAGTACGTTAAGTGCGTTAGGATATTTCTTCAAAGCCAATGGAAGCATCGTGACCTCTTGGACAGGTTTGCCCTTCCCCCTTCAAACACTAGTTCATATGGAGGGCTCCCACCCCTGAAGCTCAGCAGGCCACCAAGTCTCATTTCCAGTGAGTGTCGTTTAAAAGCCAAAGCAAGCTGACTACAAACTTTTTAACATGTGCCTCTCATCTGCTCAGCAGAAATCCCTGTAACTTGTTAATAGTTCCCGTCTTTTTTTTTTTTTTTTTTTTTTTTTTTTTTTTTTTTGTAATGAAACCAATTGAGGGCTTAAATCAGTACCATTCGTTCCATCTCAGGTCACCTTAAAAAAACCATTAGAGTTGTAAAAAGTCATCTGCTCCATCCTGCACTTCCTGCTGCAGGGTGAGGGCCAGCGCCTGATGAAGCCTACCTGTACCAGGACAGTGCAGTGTCATGCACAGGGGCTCTCCGGCGGGACTGCATAAACACCAGATCTGGGAGAGCCAGGACAGGCTTTCAAAGAGAGGAGACCAGACACAGTGCCCATAAAACACAACTCTTTTTACCGCTGGAGTCAAGTTTCTCCATTTGTGCCATAGCAATTATTTCACGGACGCTCACAGCATTTAGGGTGAAAGATAAGAAAAATGCCTCCAAGAGGAACTCTAGGCTTACAGAAAACGAATTCCCAAGCTTCCTGAAGGCCCTGCAGGCTAGGCATCCAGAGGTACAAACACAAGATGCACCAGAGATTTTTTCTAATCTGCCCAGTCTTCCCTTCCAGAATGCCTTCATTCTATTAAAAGAATTCCTGGAAAGGATTTGTTGTTGGCTATTTGCACTTTGCCATCAAGTGAATCCCCAGACACAAATATAATTTTGAGAAAAACAAACTGAAGTCAGTTCAAGCCCCTCATTTCACAGGTGAGAGGAATGAATAGGCAGCCCGCCTCGCCCGTGGTCATGAGCTGGGTGGATGGAATCAGGCTTGGTGCTCTTCCTACTATGGTCAGCTGCTGGCTGATGTCTTCCAGAAGTAGTTACAATATTGGCCTTATCTCAATTTATGGAATAAAAGTCTTTGTGACATCTCATAAAGGAATTTAAGGCATAAACAAGAAACTAGGAAGGTGAATTTCCTGAAGTGACTTTAAAATCAGCAGCTATTTATAACCAAATCCAATTCTACCTCAGAAGCTCATTGGGGAAATTACTAGTATTTTGACCAAGGAAGAGATATTATGTGGGCTCTGTAAAAATCTGAAACTGAAAAGAACTATTAAGAGCTAAATTTGTATTTTTACACCCAATACTACTACTATTTCTGTATATGTAGGCTGAGGCTTTTCGTTTCCTGTTAAAAATGAACTTTTGGCTTCTTTTGAGGTATCTGCCTCTCCATGTGCAAATCTGGACTGTTCCTCTCTGGCACCCTATGGGTGGTTTCTTTGCATCTGAATAACTGGAATCTTGCTGGTTTTCTTCACATTTCCCTCACTGATAAAAAACTTATTCTTGCTTCTTTCCACTTAAAATGTTCTTGATCCTTTTATAGCTGCCCAGATTCTAAGAGTCCCTGACATGAGTTCGTGGGGAAGCATAGCTCTCTATCATACTGGTAAACTCCCAACCTTGCCCTGAAGGAGGAGCTCCACCATGGGAGCTTCCCTATGGAAGACAAAGCAGCCATTCATTCTAGAGAATTCAAAGTTAAGGTCCAACAGCCCCAGAACTAAACCACTGTTTTGAATTTTCAATGAGGAGACAGGAAGTGGATGCTGCACTGTTGCTTCCTGGCCTGGGAAAGAGGAGGCTCCAGAAGGTCCCTTTTAGTTTTCTTAAACTATCTGAAGGCCAAAGTAGGTTGTGTTGGACTAGCCCTTTGCCTGTTGGTGCACCTGACACCAGTCCAGTTCTAATATCCACCTGTCATAAGGGCCCCTTCAGATCCAGATCCAGGGACTTTATGAGTTGAAAGGGACCAAGAGGCCTTCTAACCAATATGTGCTCCCTAGACCAGCAGCATCAATATCACCTGAGAACTTAGTGGAAATGCAAATCCTCAGGTCAGCCTCAGACCTAGAGGATCAGGAACCCTGAGGAGGGTGGGAGTAGGGGGAGGAGTGAGTGTATCAGTGATTTGGGTTTCAAGCCCTCCATGATTCTCAAGCATACTCAAGTTTAGTAATCACTATTCGGGTACTTTGAAATAAGAAATTTGGTTTGTATCATTGGTTCTCAACTGGGGCTGCCCATCAGAATCAATTGGGAAGCTTTTATTCATATGGATATGGAGGTCCCATGCCCAGAAATTCTCATTTAGTTGGTTTGAGGTGGGATTCTGGAACTTAAAACATTTTTAAAGCTCCTCCTACCTTGAGAACCACTGACCTAACTCAAGTTATCTTCTAGATAAGGAAATTGAAACCTAGAGGGGAGAGTGACATGCCGAGGGTCAGATGAGGGGTAGGGGGAGAGAAAGGGTGTCACCAAGCTGTGAAGCTGGGAGTAGAACAGAGATCTCTAGACTTTATTACCTGATTGGCTCTTGTCCTGGTAAATACCCAAACCCAAAGGTGGCATTTGCAGTATTTGTTTCAGGCTCTGAAACTGGGCAGGCTTTTATAAAAGGAGATTTCGTTTTGGTGACTTTTGCTTTATGCTTAATCTAGCTCTTGCAATTATACTCATGTGTATTTCATATGACAGAACTGCAATCCCATACCTCAGTTCCCACCATTTGGGCCCCTAAGCTCAGCCCTCCCAGGCCTCAACCTTGACTTGGCCCACCTTATGCCAGGTACTCCATTTCCTCTGAGCTTAAGATCCTGAGATTTGTTATCCTATATTTTCAGCTGGAAGATTAAATATGGTGAAGCAAGCAACAGTGCCCAATTAAAATACATATGTAATACATTTCCACTGAGAATGGAAAAAGTTGAGCTAGTTGATTTCAGTGCTGATTACCAGAGGTCTTAGTGGAAAGTGAAGAAATGGCAAAGTGAATATTAGAAGTTATTTTTCTAAAAAGCAAGACTTACTTCACAGAGAAACAAGAGTTTGGTATTCTTTTCTGTTACCCTGTGTGTCCTCTCTTTTGGAGGGGACACACACACACACACACGTGGAATCACTTACCACAAGTTTGCTGAGCTAAGAGAAAACAGTGGTTCTCTAAAAATCAGCCCATCTTGGACGTTTGAGGGCACCTCCTGCATGGCTTGCATCTGGCCTAGACAGACTCAACTTAAAAGGCCTCTATCTTAATGGAATACATGTTTTATCTTTCAGGGGGCAGCACAGGCACTTCCCCAACCACCTCCAGCACTGGCACACCATCCCCTTCAGCTTCTTCTCATATTTTATCTCCATCCTGTTCTCCTCCAACTTTTCACCTGGCCCCCAACACTTTCAACGTGGGCTGCCGAGAGAGCCAGCTGTGCAATCTGAACCTCTCCGATTACCCACCCTGTGCCCGAAGCAACATGGCTGCCTTGCAGAGCTACCCGGGGCTGAGTGACAGTGGCTACAATAGGCTGCAGAGTGGCGCTGCTGCAGCCACTCAGCCCTCCGAAACCTTCATGCCTCAGAGGACTCCATCCCTGATCTCAGGAATACCAACTCCTCCCTCGCTGCCTAGCAACAGCAAGATGGAAGCCTATGGTGGCCAGCTGGGGTCCTTCCCCACTTCCCAGTTTCAGTATGTCATGCAGGCAGGCAATGCAGCCTCCACCTCCTCCTCACCACACATGTTCGGGGGTGGCCACATGCAGCAGAGCTCCTACAATGCCTTCTCTCTCCACAACCCTTACAATCTGTACGGATACAACTTCCCCGCTTCCCCGAGGCTGGCTGCCAGCCCAGAGAAACTGAGCGCCTCGCAAAGCACTTTACTCTGTTCTTCGCCTTCCAACGGGGCCTTCGGAGAGAGGCAGTACCTGCCCACGGGGATGGAGCACAGCATGCACATGATCAGCCCTTCGCCCAACAACCAGCAGGGGGCTAACCCCTGTGATGGCCGGCAGTATGGGGCGGTCCCAGGCTCCTCCTCCCAGATGTCTGTACACATGGTTTAAAGGCCAGTCCGAACACCAGCCAAGGTCCCAGAGTCTCCATGGGCACCTCCTCCTCTTTGGGAGCCCAAGGCCCTTGAAACACAGGAACTGCATATATATATATATATATATATATATATATATATATATATATATATATTTTTTTTTTTTTTTTTTCTGGAGGAGGAAAGCATATGCCCAAGGACAAGAGACATTGAAGCCACTGAAGTATACTCGTGATGGAATCATCTTCAACCCAGTGGCCATGCTCCTGTCTTCCCAAAGCTTAGTTTTTATAAAGCATCGTCTACTCCAGAGTGTTCTTTGAAGAAACTGAATAATCATTTTATAATAATGTTAATGGAGATGTTTAGCAGCCATGAAGTTAGCCACACACACACATATAGAATGACCCATACATGCATACATACACAAAGGCGCACACACACATGTTCACACAGACTCATACACACATACATGTACATGCACACAGACTCAGAACTGGGCGAACTCTGTGGAGGGAGGCCTGCCATGGGTATTTCCGCCGAGAATTGTCTGTGTACAACACTAGATGGACCCGGCTGGCAGTACTGTTCACCTTTCTCCCCTGTGGCTGTCCCTGATTCTGGAATGAACCGTGTATCCTGGAACCCCTTCCCATCAATGAAGGTGGGAAGACATCAGAAGTATACAGCTGGACTTGGCTTGTTGAAGAAAATTGTTTTAAACTTTGGTTGTCTTCACTCAGTGTGACATTCCCAGTGGTACCATGAAAAGATGAAGAGAGAGAGAGAGAAAGAGAAAGAATAGAGGGCAAGAGAGAGGCTGAGAGCAAGACTGACAGAGCAAGTGTGAGCAGTGATGAGAGTTTCAATTCACCAAGGAATTGGTTTTGGTTTGTTTTCCCCATTCCCCGCTACAGGTTATAGAAGGAATCCTGGTGTTGAGGAGTGAGTGTCTCTGGGACTCTGTGCCTGGTCAAGGGCAGGGGCGAGAGGGACTGTGCAAGGAATGAGTCTTGATCCCACAGCTCTGACCATTGTGATCCAGAAGAGAGTGCAGCACGTGGGAAGTGTGGATTCTGGAGCATGTAGCCTGGCGTGGGAAGGGACGTAGGGGGAGTGTGAAGACGGAAGAGTGATGAAACCAAGCGCAGAGGCAACAAAAGAGGCCTGGCCTTGGCAAGTCAGATCCAGACACCTGGCAGGAGAGACCCTGTCGTGTCCCAGGGAATTGCAGATGGGCCGTCTACATCCTTCCACCTGCCCTTAGATCTCCATTTTTATCAAATAGTTCATTGCATTTTGATGTTTTGGGTTTTTGCCTTCATCTTTCCCTTCCCCTTCAAATCCTTTAATGATAAGAAAAACAAGTGGAGTTTGGTGCAAGCTAAACTTTTTAAATGGTGTGGAAATGCAAATAATACCAAGTAAAATAATACAGATATTATTAAGATTTTTTGGTTTTGAGGTGTTGTAGATAAGTGTATTTATGTGCCTAGTGGGGAATTCAATATTATGAATATTAAAAAAGGGGGCAATAAAAAGGTATGTAAAATATGTATGAAGAAAAGGTGTATAAAAATTTGCCCTTATGCACGGAACTCTTGTTTCTAAGTGCCAAGCACAGAAAGCCGCTAAATAAAATCTTTGCCATTGTTCTCTGTGTGTTTGTTTCTATGGAAAATGTGAATAGCAGCCTATGCACATGCCCCGTGCTTTACAATGAACACGGCGCTCTCAGCGCCACTACTTGACATCTCCTTTATTCAGATCCCAAGAGGAAAATACTACTGTCCTCATTTTATGTTAGTAGGTGAGCTCCAGGGAAAGTGAGCAAATGCCAACCAAATCAGAGAGTCCGTCAGAGAGGGAGGCAGAACTGAAACCAGCTCTGCTTTCAGTGGGACATGCGCTTTCAGATTAGCCCTAGAAGCCTTCATGGGTCTAAGCGCTTCCCTCATCATCGTCATGTGCTAGACATTACCTGACTATCATACGGAATCCTTCCACAATTCTTCGAGGTAGCTATTATTTTTAGCATCATTTTATATATCTGGAAATAAGCTTTAAAAAGTTTAAGGACTCGACCAAGGCCCTCAGGTGGTTAAGTGGTTGAGCTGGTGGAATTTTGACTAGAAGGTCGGTCTGTGCAATTAACACTAAGTCATTCCCCTGGAGCTTCAGCAGTCCTGTGAGGAACAATTAGGAAGGAGACAGAGCCTAAGGGGTTGAAGGAAGACTGCCTCTGTGGCTAGATTTTCTTGGAATGTTTAATTGTAAATATATACGTTCTCCTTTGAATGTACCACCACAGCATGGAGGGGTGATTTTGAGTTGTCCTGCACCAAATGATGACTTCTAAGACGCTAATAATGTGCCTAGGGCTCTCCCACACATCCCCATATCTCATTTGAACTCTGCAAGAGCCAGGAGATGTGGAAAGGCAGGAAGAACTATTTTGTAAATGGGAGACCAGGATGATAAAGGTTGTGAGGTGCCTATATGGGAAGCAGCAGAGCCAGGACCTGAAATCTCCTGCCCCGACTGTTCCCTGGTGGACAGTTACACTAGGAACCCACTGACCATTTCACCAGGGCTTGATTGGGGGGCGGTGGCAGGTTACTGACCATCACACTCATTAACTAGAGATGAAGCTTGGATTGGGACAGCAAAAACCTTAATTAATCATCGCTTTGGTTTTATAAATAGCTTCAAAGAGTGGCATTCTGGTTAATTCCATTAGCCACCAGACCACTGCCAGAACAGCAGGTACGGTGGCTGACTGAGGGCCTCATGGTTTGTAGGCTCTTTGGGCATGACATGTTTCAAAAATTAAAAAGACTCTTCTATTTGGAAATCTTTGGGTCAATCCTCAGCTTCATAATCTAAAACAACTGCCCATGAAGCTTATTGTTATTTCTGATTTAGAGGCAGCACACCAAATACTGTTTACTGGTCTGTGTTTAAGAATTTTGGTAATAGATAATTGTAATGTGCCAAGTAGCAAACTTGACCTATAAATCTCCAGATTTTCATTTAATAATAAGAAAAATTTCAGTAAGTTATTTAAGAGTATTGGATACAGACAATTTCTGTAATTTGGATGAATTGACAAATCAGTTACATCTGAATCATGACATATGTTTCTATCTGAAATTGAGAATATTTATTTTTAACAAAAACTGGATACTCAAGAAAATGCTCTACCCAATTCTCTTCAATGCAATCATGAAAATTCATTGTAATTGATACATTGGTTACATACAAAGTGCTAGTAGATATCATTATATACAAAGGCCTATAGAAAGATGTTCCTCTATAGTTAAGCTGCTCCTCCCTCTCTCCTGTTTCTTGAGGAAAGCTGTCTTGTTCCTCTTTGCATCCTCAATGCCCAGGACAGCTCCTGACTTCTTACAGAATCTCAATACATATTTATTCTGATTGCTGAATTTATCAACCAATCCCACTTTTCAAGGATAGTGCAAAATGGTTGCATTCACTCCAAATTAACGGGACCTAAATTTACAAGGATTTGTTCTTCATGCTGTATTCTTTGACAGATTAATGTGAATTTAATTTAGATACTAGCTTGTCAGCATCCTTACACATAATGTAGAACAAAAAAATGTTTCTTGGTTTCTTGCCTGAAAGGATTCACTTTTCACGCAGCCAGGCACCTGTGAGACAAAAGACAGAAGATGCTCCTTGCAAACTCAGAGAAGATGCCCATTGTAAAAAGGTGAGGCTGGGAGAATTTGATTCAGCTTTGAAGGGTGCTCAGAATTTTTACAGAAGGAATGACAGGATAGGAATGAAATAATATTTTAAAAATCAGTGAAATAAGTTTTAGAGGATAAATGACAGCTTCTCAATTCAAACCTAATAATTTAAGAAAATGAGACATTCAGGAACTTCTTCAGCCTATAGACTAACATCCTCTTTTATGCAATACTTTGTCATTTATGAGAGAATTGAGGGCCGAGACTGAAGGGAAGAGCTGTTTGGTTGGTGCCAAATGTCTTAGTCGTTAGTGAGCACTCAGGATTTCGGAGGCTCTGCTGTACCAATTCACATTTAATAAACTAAAGGAGAGAGGTCTTCCCAAGGAAATATGGCCACAAAGATACATGTTCACCAAGCTTATCTGCTTATGTCTGCCAGAAGAGATCTGATTTTATCTGGTCATAACTTCACTGTAGGTCAAAGTATATACAGGGTTTAGTACCATTCCCTGCTTCGGGCATCCACTGGGGATCTTGTAAGGTATCCTCCTAGATAAGGAGGAAACTCCTGTCTCTAGCAAACAAATGAATAGTATACTTTTAGATTGCAAAAATAATTTTGAGGACTTTAAAAATAATTGGATGAGAGAGACTGATTAGGGAGTAAGGATAAAGGCTTATTTAGACAGAGTTTTCTACCAATGCAGACATTACCTTAAAATCTGCATACTCCCAATTTACGCTGAGGGTGGCATGTCCTCATGGGAAGATGGGTTCTGCTAGCTTTGCGTCAGATGGGGCTGGCCATTTCTGTCCTCCCAAGGGCTTTGGGGCATTGACACTTATTTACAAAAGCCCTGCTGCTGACCTTCTGGGGCTGGGCCATTTAGAGATGCCTCAGATCTCAATCTATCTCCCTCCTGGCCCCAATAAAGTCCTATTTTCATGACTCCCCTGGCAGAAGGATGAGAGTCATTCCTTCTAATTCATTAAAAGTTTAAAATTGATGCTCAGAAAACCAAATGAGTAACAAATTACTAATGAGCGATAAGTAATAAGAAAAAAATATTAAGTACAACTTGGTATTCTACAATGTTCTCAAGATTATTCTATGTTGTATGAGGATGTAGAAAATTTCTACCTTGAAGATGTCAGCCTGGTTAAGAGGAGTAAAGGTGTAAGCATATAGTACAGTGAACAATAAAAGGATTAAATTGCTGCTAATGGCCATGCAAACATATCTCTTCTTATAGTACTCTGCTCTGCTGCACTTGCAGATGCTGAGTTTTCATCAATATGGAGTCAAGACCCTCCACCGGCAAAAAAATCATGACTTGCTGGAGGCCCAGGTAATGTTTAGCATTTTTTAGCAAAAAAGTATTTTTAATTAAGTTATGTATATTATTTTTTTTAGACAAAATGCTATTGCACAGCCAATAGTTTACAGTATAGTATAGACATGACTTTTATACACACTGGGAAACCCCTCAAAAATCATATGACTCACTTTATTTTGACTCACTTTATAGTAGTGGTCTGGAACCAAACCTGCAATATCTCTGAAGCATGTCTGTATATGAGGCACAGTTTTAGAAAGGAACACATTTTTATTGAGTGTTTATTACTTGTTACACATTATGCAAAGCTATCCTATAATCTTTGCAACTACCTTGCAGAAATTGTATTTCAATCCCTATTTTATAGATGGTATGGACGAAAGGGGCCACATGCTAACCTGAAAAACTCAGGGAAGGCCTGGATGGTGGTCTTGCAAACTCAGAGACCTAAAGTCACCACAAAGGATGGTCTGAAATGAAAGTTTAACTAAAAGCAGTTATGGTGGGTAGTCACATTGTATCTTCACTGACAAGGTCAACCTTTACCTTAACTGAGCCTGTCTTTTTGCATCTATAACATAATCCTTTGAAATGTCTAGGTAACTTTAACTTCCCTTTTTCTGGACCCCTTGGAGCACAACCTAATGTGCTAGGTGCCTGGACAGATACCACAAATTCTTTCATTATCATGT